TAATCAAACCCCACCACAAAAGCGGATTTTATATGAATAATGCACATATCAAAATGCAAATTTAGGAATTCAGGGGGAAGTTAACTGTTAACCTTTGCCTGATTTGGCCTTGAACATATTGCAACTCTAACTGGACATAGTTTTGGAATGTATTTCCACCTGTGAAGACACTGGTAAGTGAAGCATAAAACCCATCTTTCAAACTGTCTTATCGATGTCTAATGTAATTTGAGAAATATAACTGTAACTGCCGCCTGTCTTCTCAGCTACAATTCTTTTACATAGAATTTTTCAGGCAGCGGTTAAGGATACTGGGCTGTGGTCTATGTGCAGAACTCAAATTCGATGAAAGGTGCTTCGAATTATCATGTAAATGTGAATATATGACAAACATTATGTTATTCTGTTATAAGATTATTGAACCATAATAATAGAATCAATCTCCTTGCAAAACGAGAAGAATTCTTCAGGACATTTTAAGTTGTATTATGGTAGTCTAATAAAGCTTAACTACCTACTTTGTTCATTACACCATGCAACCCTCTCTATTGCTTGACACGAAACATGCACACTGATGTGCTTAATAGCTCAAGGCAACATCAGATGTTGCCACATCATATCCCCACTATTGACATGGCAACACCAAATGCTGCCACACCCACCATGGACATAATAATTCTTGCTCACTGTGAACAGGAGATCATCATTGTACATGTTATACATTCTCCAACAGAGGCCCTATTTGGGTCCCACTTAGTAGTTAAACCGACATGGATGAAACCCACATGTGTGGACCCGCGGCCGAACCATTGGACGAACCTATAAGATGTACCGAACCCCCTTAAAGAAGGGAAGCGAGGCTTTTTGGCAAAAGACTCCCCGAATCAGATTTATTGATACAATTGATGTGACAACCCCCTGCCACCGCGGCCCATAGCCAACCTATTTGGTCTAGTCTACTGCTGCAAGCTGTAACTTATGGAAGGGAAGTTGGCATTAGCATTAATACACTATGATTGATTGATGCCAATGATGGGAAGTTAAGCCTAAGAGGATGAGGCCACGTGTCTCCTCATCCAACGTTCTACACTCACTATCTCACGCTATAAAAGCTCACACTTAGGTTGTGTTTGATATGAGTGGAATTCCATGGAAAATGGAATTGAAATTCTAACTTTCCAATTTTTGGGTGTTTGATTAGCAAAAGTTTCCAAGGAATTCATTTTTCCACATTTTGGTGCCACATAGACTTTTTCCTTCTTTTGGAGGAAAATGAATTCTCACCAAAATGGTGAAAATTCATTTTCTGATTTACTGTATAAAAAAATATTTTCCTTTAATTGGCAATTTTTATGTAAAACAAAACCATACGAACGACTTTCTTTAATTTTTAAAATTTTTTAAATTTTTTTTTTTTTTTTTTTTTTTTTGCAATGGAAACAAATTTTATTCCTAATACCAGTAAAGTCTATCTCTTTAATTGACAATTTTCATGTAAAATAAAGCCAAATTAAAAGCAAAAATTGCTTTTATTTCAACATTTTCCACGTGAAAAATTATACTTATCAAACACAATAATTTACAATTTTCAAGAAAACGATTTCTAGGCAATTCAATTCTCTAGAATTCGTTTTCAATTCAATTTTATCTTTACAATCAAACGGACCCTTAGTGTCATTCAAAGGTAATGCAAGTTTAGACTTTGATATTATGACTTTGCTCTCCATATTCTTTATTTGACTCCCAATACCGACCCCCTTTATTGTTTATTGGAGGCTCACATTAAAAGCCCTCACACTAAGATAGACTCACCTCTCCACAGGCATCGCCTCTTTTCCTAGACGCCTTATTACGACTTCTACTAAGTACAATAGGCTCGCCTCTCCACAGGCATCGCCTCTCTTTGAAGCCTTATTACGGCTTCTACCAAGTACAATAGGCTCGCCTCTTCTCTTTGAAGCCTTATTACAGCTTCCACTAAGATAGGCTCACCTCTCCTCTTTGAGCCTTGCGACTTCCACTAAGTACTATAAGCTCTCCTCTCCTCAGACATGTCATTGATTGTGAGCCCAAAACAACAAAAGAGTAGTTTAACTCCCAATTACCCATCAACAAACCATCAATCATAACACAAAATTCGCACAAAAAAGTGAAATCTATTGCATATATTTACAAGTGAGAGCAATCCACCGTTTACATTATAAAAAGCACTTAGGAGTAGCTTAAAAACACAACTACGCCAGGCACACAAGTTGCGAGACCTCTCCATTTTAAGAGACGTCTGCCATAACATTTAAAACTATGAGGTCTCCCGGACCATGTTGAAACTCAAAACTGCAATTACAATATAATCTGCATAGTACACTCCGACAAAGAAATCGCCTAGCTACTCAAGGGGGATAAGGCCGGTATCAACCTCTGAGGATCCACATAGTGACACTAAGGGGAATTCGGGATGAGGTCACACCCTATTGCAATATAATTTATTCGAACCAATAGGCTACGCGACGCACTTCGCGTTGCTCCCGAAGCCTTTAAAGAAGATTGTGTTGAAACTACGTTTTCATCTTCACGAGTCCGAGCATCCCATACAATATACCCAGGGATTACCCAATTTATACGCTCCATGATATCTTCCGAAACCAAGCAATCTCTTGCACCAGCTCTCATCAGAATCCACCAAGTACGAATACATTCATTAAACACACCACAGACACACGGGTTATATGATTTATGTCAACAACTAAATATCCAAGCAAATGAGCCTTTTTAAAGGCAAACATACACATTTTCAACTGTCGGATCTCAAAGATCTGAGCTGTCCAAATTGTGGCCACATCTGAACCATTTGTTATATCCGACGCTTCAACCTCCATGACCTAGATCATAACATGCGTCCAATAGTATACATCGAAAATAAGATATCCTTTTTTGGGAAGGCCAAACGGCAGCATAACATTGTAACAATAAATGCTAAAAAAGGCTCAAACTGCCCAAGTAGTCTTACGTGATATATCACTTTGGCCGAAATTCGAACCACACCTCCCCAAGGCACCGCCTCTTCCCTTGGAAGCCTCATTACGGCTTTCACCAAGTAGAACAAGCTCACCTCTTCCCAAGGCATTGCCTCTTCTCTTAAAAGCCTCATTACGGCTTCTACCAAATATAACAAGCTCGCCTCTCCCCAAGGCATCGCCTTTTCCCTTAAAAGTCGCCGTGTTCCTTTTTCGTCCTTCTTTCTCCTACTTTTCAAGCCCAAGCATTGTATAAATATCCATACATGGACTTCGGGGACTGTGTGTTACACCCCATCCCTTTTTCGTCCTTCTTTCTCCCACATTTCAAGCCCACACATTATATAAATATCCATACATGGACTTTGGGACCGTGTGTTACACCGCTTTCCTTTTTCGTCCTTCTTTCTCCCACATTTCAAGCCAACGCATTATATAAATATCCATACATGGACTTCAGGGACTGTTGTTATACCTTCTCCAATAGAGGCCCTATTTGGGTCCCACTTAGCAATTAAGCCGACGTGGATGAAACCCACGTGTGTGGACTCGCGGCCAAACCATCGAACGTACCCATGAGATGTACCGAACCCATGTATTAATCAAACCCATAATACCAAACCCCCTCGGGGAAGGAAAGCGAGGCTCTTTGGCCGAAGTCTTTTTGAATCAGATCGACTAATATGATTGATGTGATAACCCCCTGCCACTGCCGCCACTACCAACCTATTTGGTCAAATCTACTACCGCAAGATGTAACTTATGGAAGGGAAGTTGGCATTAGCATTAATACACTGCGATTGATTGATGCCCATGATAGGAAGTTAAGCCTAGGAGGATGAGATCACGTGTTTCCTCATCCAACGGTCTATACTCATTATCGCACGCTATAAAAGCTCACACTTAGTGTCATTCAAAAGAAATACAAGTTTAGACTTTGTACTATAACTTTGCTCTCCACGTTCTTTATTTGACTCCCGATACCGAACCCCTTTACTCTCTATTGGAAGCTCAAGTTAAAAACCCTCCCACGCTCAATATATTTCTTCCCAAACTAACTTGACTGTTGAAGTGCGGACGATCAGCTCATCCCCACCAGAGAAGGCCACGTGTGTCTAACGGTTTGTCCTAGTGTGTAGGAATATGGCTTATCTGAATGTGAGAGGTCTTGGGATCTGTTGAAAGTACATTTTTCTATGTCAACAGTACATATATGATATATTTATGGAAGAGGACAAGGAATGTAAAAGTGTACATGATTCAGAAATCATTATACGAGGTTGATATTCTGTTCCTGATTGCAATGGATTCGATGAAAAGCTTTTTTGGTGTCGTGGTAGTGTTATTTCACGACCTATTTTTGAAGACAGCCAACCTATTGTACAATTTAAGAAATAGGTTGAAGAAGCCACTGATTTCTTCCTAGTGGAAATAGTTTGACTGTTGTTGAGGTATGAGAAGTTATAGGGGAAAAGAGCAGAAGGGAGGGACGCTGGTTTCGGTAGTTAAGGTGGACAAGAGAGATGACAATGAGGACTATCCCGGTATATCAAGGAAGTATGGGTACGAGGAGTACAAGCAGACAGCAGATTACACTGGATCGACTGTGAGTTGAAAACCAACTAGAAGGCACCAGAATAACTACTTACAGTTCAGACCTCTGCATTTCTACTGGAAAAAAGAAACCAATGCAACTGTACAGTAATTTTTACCTAATCTTTTAATAAGTCCATTAACATGATTCTATCAGAGCATTAAGAATTGACATAAGAAGTGCAAACCATACTAATATATCACAAGAAATTTCGAAACCAGCATTACGTCATGAAACACAATACAACATTAGAGAAAAAGATAAATCAACCAGAACTCCAGTCGGAAAAGCTATGTTATCCCAACCAAATGACATGAAAAGATCTTGATTAGCTTCCAATTTTCGCCCCATATGACGAGCAATCATGTCATGAAACAGATGATAACCAACAATTTAAACTAATCAGGTGCTGATTTAGAGAGTTAATAACAACATTGGCCTAATTAGAAGGCACAGAGGTTAGAAGATTCCACACAACACATCGAATGAAAATGTTCTTTTCCAGGAAAATAAGCTAAATAGCACCTTCTAATGTTCTCTCATATTAGATAGGACCATTTAACTATAGTCACTACATAGCATCCTTTTAAAACAGTATTTTACATACCCGATTTTACACACTAACAGAGTTATGACTGACTAAACACAAGTACTAACTAGATCGTTGACATGCACTGCTAAGAAAGGTATCCTTTCTTTACGGCTTCAATGAATTCTTTAAGTGTGTGCAGGCCCATTTGGTGGTACAAGGATCATCGGAGAAATTAGCTGCTTGATCTGCCAGATTGATGATCACCGGAACTACCCATTTATTTTCAGGCCAAGGTGCAATGGAGAGTATTCACGAACCTGCATTCGCTAAAGGACAATCCTTAAGAAATTTCAACTCTTCAAAAGGTACTTGTATTAAATACTGAATGCAATATTCTGTAGACTAATAATATGGAATTAACTTACAAGCAAATTGGTGGATATTCACAGTAAAGACAAGCTGATATTGCCAACATGTGCAGCAATTATTATCTTGCCTTCCCATAACTTCTATCTAACCAATTCAATAAGCTGGCCTCCAAGAAGAAAGTGCATATAAGATACGCCCCTTCCACCCTTGCAACATCCAGAGGCCATCTTCATCGATCACAAAATCCTTGTGGTAGGATGATGTAACCCGGACTTTTGCCATGCTCATTATCTCCTCATTCAGTGGAAGCTGTTTGAATCCAGCCCTAATATTTCGAACCTGCCACTGCTTGTATGTCTCTGGTCTCTCAATTCTTTCGGCAGCTTCACATGCAATGACATTCATTGCTTCCTGTCCAAATATTGTTTTCTCAAGAAGCATCCTCTCATGAATTTCACGAGGAATATTAGCCTCAAGCATATCAAAAAACGATGAATAATGAAACAGAGCCTCACGGAATCTTGTAATAAAGAAGGGAGCATTGTAAGCACCATTCACTATCCCCTGTACAAAAATATCTGGACTAATTTTCCTGATAAGGTTCAAAACAATATTTCTTGGACTGTTTATCACCACAGTTTCATCAAGCAGATTCCTAAACCTATAAAGGCAATTCACCACAACCACCTCATCTTTACTAACGTTAAGATCCTCAATCTTAATAGTTTCCCACTTCTGCGCTATAGCATTGAAATCAAATGGAACGTTAAAAGTCTCAGCATAACTAGCCAAGCGCCGTCCTGTCTCTTCAACCCTTTCTGATGGTCGAAACCCTGGACACGGAAAATCAATCCCCGTAATACGAAGCTTGGGGGGACCACCAGGCCTAGACGAGAGACGTTGTATAAAGCAAGGCCATTGAAAACCATAGAGAATACCAAAATCAATAATGTGAAGCCTTGTGGCACTTTTAGCCGCATTCATAATGGTCTTATTTGCAAAGAAGTTAGAGATCTTCCTAAATGGACAGCTAGCCAGATATATATGGTAGGCTTTCAAGATGTCAGCAGCCGATGTAGGCAAATTAATAAGGGCTTTGTAGATCTGTGTCCCTGATCCAGCCATACGTGCCTCAAGACCATCAGCAAACCAGTGGGCAAGCCTCTGCATCCCGTCTCCCGTGGGAGTCGAATGTTGTCGGATCTGCTTCAGAAACTCATTAGCAGACCTTCGGTCATCAGCCGCAACAGCTTGTGCACAAAGGGTCAAAAGGGTTCTCAAATCAACCACATTCCTTCTGCCTCCCAGTTTCTTGCCACGGCTTTTCCCACCAGTAGACCCCTTAATTTGACTATTTTGCAAAGCATTTTTAGTTGCTTCATTCTGCAATGCTTTCCGAAGTGCAGATTCATTTCTTCCTCCACTGCATAGAAGCACCATATCAAACATTTCCGGACTCGCAGTCGATTCAGTATAAACAGCTGTCTGCTTGTTATTCCTCTCCTCGTGCATACTCATAGTCTCTCGATATGGATTCTTCTTACCCCTTGTCAGATCAGCACGGTCCTCATTGACACATTTCTTTTCCACCTTAACTACCAAACCGGTTGTCCCTTCCTTCTGCTCTTTCCCCAATAACTCACCATACCTCAAATCAACTGCAAAACTATTACCATTAGGAAGAAATTTAGCAGCTTCCTCAACCCCTTTCTTAAATTGCATAACCGATTGGCTATCACTAAATATATTAGGAATTTTGAGTGTACTGACAGGAGAATCTGCCGGACCATCAGTGAAGTTACTGGTGCTACTTGATGGGCTAAAAGGTGACTGAGAAGTCAATTGTGAAACAACACCAACAGAAGCAAGCTGTTCATCAAATCCAGAGCAATTAGGATCAGAATTCCAGTCCGGGCACAAATCAGCATTACCAGTAGCATAATAATTTGTAAAATCTCCTGAAAAGTTTTCAACGGAATTATCAACATTCTGATCCCAATTTGGGACTCGCAGATAATCTGTTGAAGCAGGGTACTGTCCCCCAAGAACTTCATAGAATGATTTCTCTGCAGCTAGAAGAGCTGCTGACTCTCGAAACATGCAAGCTTTCTCTTCCACATCCTCTTCCATAAGGATATGGTTTATATACTTAAGCACCACATCACTAAAATCATAATCCTCGTGCGTATCGGTATCAGATGATTGGACTAAAATATTAGAATTCAAATGACTAGAAAATGGGGTAACATCATCATAATTACCATTTGAGAAACTATTGCTAACTCTCAAATTGTTATTCAGATTTGGATCTGGAAACACCGAAAGGGCTTGGTTGTCATATTTGATACCAGATGTTGTCGTACTATAACACCTAAAATTCCGATCCATGACCATCTAGTTTGCAGTAATCTATTCAATATAGAATATACCCAAATCCCAAAATCTTATAATTTTAAATCAAGATTCTCTTTCAATCTCCCCCTTCAACTTTACCGCCAGCAATACAGAGCTAGACCTTTTCCAAGATGAGAAATTTTGATACATCAAAATTCAAAACCCAGAAACTGAAATCCTGAAACAACCACAGAGCATAAAATAAAACAAAAAATTGGATCAATTGAGGAAACCTTTAAGCCATAAAAAATAAATCTCAATCCAACAAGCAAAGTCACCTTATGCATACTTTTCAGCACAAATTCGAGAAAAACAAAAGATAAATTGCTTCAAAACAACAACTCGGGAAAAAATCAATTTGACCAGAAAGTTAAAACCTTTAAATCTCTAGAATTTCACATATATAAAAAATGAATCTTGGAGTCCTGTATTCAGGAAAGTATTCATATCGTACTTGAAACAGAACTGAGCATAAAAATTACCTGGAAAAGGTGAAAAAATGGGGGAGAGAGAGAGTGATATTGAAGTAGAGTTGAATACGGGTCTGCTTAATTTGACCTTTTCATAGCATTAGCAATAATGGGTCTTTCCGAGGATGAAAAAGTGGATTGGTGAGTCTTCAACTGTTTTCTGGATGATATAATGGCTGGGGCATAAATTGAGCTGTCTGATTGTCAACTGGTAATTATTATATGATATGGTTTTGCTTTCTATTAAATATTTACGAAAGCACGAAAAGACAAGATTTTTTGGAATTAACACAATGATTTCGCTCCATTAAACATTTTGTCCTCACATTTTTGTCCATTTCCTAAATTTTGATCCGCCCACTAACCGACTCTCCACTATCCCAGATCTTTTAAAATCCTGATTATTTAGCCTTGCTTGACCACCATTCTCAAGAAGACTCATTATCACTATAAAAAATAAAAAATAAAAAATAAAAAGAAGGGTTCTACTACAAAACACATTTTTCACCAAGTTGTCTTTTGTATCCATACTAGTCTATAAGAGGTGCAACGTGAATCGTGTCATCACGTACATATTTTATATAGTTGTTATGAATTAAGTTGATATGAGCAACATGATAATTTTGCTTTTTATAAAAAACTCATTTGAGTTATTGGGAACTTGCAATCCGTATAGGTTAAATGGTTTCTTTCGAAAAAACAATAAATTTAGGGTCAGAGCACTCGAATATAAGGATTAAGTTTTACCTATAAATTTTATTAAAAATTATTGTTAAAAGATTTTTTAGTTCGACAACTATGAACTTTTAAAAAGTGTCAAGCTACAAAAAAATTCTTGTCGTGCCAAGTTTGACATAAAGATCGTAGATCTGCGACCACACTATTCACTTACACCTCTACATTTATTTGAAATTAAATATAAATGTTCTAATGCCTTTGAAACTTTATACGAGTTATTCTTGGATTTAAGAAGTTAGAAAAGTGTAATTTAATTTCTCTATTAGATATTATCATCATGTGATATAGCATTAAATGATAAAATCAATACAGTAAGTCTCATACAAGGGTGGAGCCAGGATGGACTAAAAAATTTCTACTTGGCTGTTACATAGAAAAAAAATAATAATAAAATTAAATTAAGCCAATGTATAACTTTAAATTTTACATTTCAAAAATAGGTAATTAGCACAAAAGGTCCCTACTTTTCAATGTTATAGTGCAAAACGTCCATATTTTTCATTTTTTTGGTATTTCCATTCCTACTTTTCACCTTTCATTGCGCAAAATGTTATTTTTATTCATTTTCAATAAAATGACGATTTCACCCTCATATTCAAATAAAACAAAAAGAAAACAAAAAATAAATAACTAATTGCAATCATAGTCCGAAATTTTTTAAAACATTACAGATAAGTCTTAAATTCTCCACTACCACCACTTTCACAATCCGACCAAGTCCCCATGATGTGATCCAGAAGCCACGAGCATCAAGGTCAAGTCCAACGTTAGGTCCGACTAAAGATCTGTTGAAGGTCGAGGGCGGTCCGATGACTCGCGCGAGGACAAAGCGAGTAAAAGAGGCGACGGGATTGCTTGTTCAATAAACCATTGATTGAATGATATTCGAGACGCAAAACGAGACAACTTTCATGTTCGGATCAAGAGCCGAATCAAATTGGATAAACTCAATACAAGTCGACGAAAACGGAGGCAAACTGGTCTACCATGTGACCGCATAGTAGAACGGGGCTTGCGATCGTATAAGGTGTGGCAGGGTCAATGTGGTCATAGTGTTATTCGAGTACAAAATTTCCTTTTTTCGCGTTTTTTCCATATTTTGTTAGAATTTTATTCCTAGTCAAATTCTTATGATATTGGTTGGTTATTTTAGAGATGCTACTAGATTATTAGTATTTTATTCCTTTTTTACTTCTATTCTAGGATTTAGTATAAATAGAAGTTTTTTCTTTCATTGTAAAGAACCTTTGACATATTAATTAATTGAAAGGCTTTAATTGCGTTCTCTTTGTTCTTCCAATTGAACAACTTTGGAACTTATAAAGATCTAATTCTTGTGTCGTTCAAATCAACCGGGTGAGATTCCATAATTTTGCGTGATCAAAAGGTCCGCACATCGTCGGCGATTCAGGTTGCTTGGTTTCAGTATTGAATTCGAATCAAAATCTTGCTTTGGCTTTCTTAGGGAAATTTCCATCTTGTTCGTGGGTTCCGTAGCGTTTGTCTACGCGGGTTCACATCAGTTGGTATCAAAGTTTGGCTCCAATCCAATGTTATATCTCTTTTTAATTCTTGTTGAGTCCAGTTATTTCTTTTCTTTACTGTTCTTCGAGTCCGTTAGTATTTTAGAGTCTTTAATCCAAAAAAGTTATAAAAAAAACTTCAAAAGTTATTTTTGGATTCAATTTGCATCCATATCAACTTCATCAGTTTTGTTTTTAATTTTTTTCTCCCAAGAGTAAAAAAAAAAAAAAAAGTACTGTTCATCCGTACAGTAAAAAAAAATTCAAAAAAATCCAAATTTAAAAATAAAAATTGTTATTATTATTGTAGATCTTGGGAATTACTGATTTCTTGAGTCAATTTATTATTTTGTGTCTAGTTTAAATTTTCAGTCAGTAATTTCCTTTCTTGTTTTGCGTTTTTGAGTCAATTTCTTTACTTGTCTAATTTGAATTGCTAGTCAAATTGTTCTAAATTCCTTGGCCTTGTAATCTCACTCACACCAGTTTGAATTCCACATTATTAAATTTTTGATTGAGTTCCAAAATTATTCTTTTGGGGACTTGGTGAAAGCAACGAGTAGTAAAAGGCGGAGTGGTGAGAACAATTGAGGGAAAAAGCCATATTGAGTGAAATTCTGAGTGAACAATTGTGAGGCTGAAAAATAATTTAGATTTAAAATGTCTGACAGGGAAGGATCGAGTTCAAGTAGAATTGATGATCGGATTTCCATGCTAGAGGACTCGGTGCGAAGGATTGAGCGGATATATGTAGATATGAGGGATTGGATGGATAGGCAGGATGCACGAAGGGGAAAGACAAAATTCATTGCCTGCCAATGCACGAAGACAGGGTAGACGAGAACTGAGATGGAAGAGCTTAGTGAATTTGAGGTTGATAGTGGGATAGATGAAGATGCGATTGTGGATTCGGATATTGGAAGGGGTAGAATAAGAGGAGTTAGACAAGAAATGAGAGGTAAGAATCTCGGTGGAGACGAGGTGGATGGGAATTTGAGTAACATTAAAATGACCATTCCTTCGTTCAAAGGTAAGAGTAATCCGGAGGCCTACTTGGACTAGGAGAAGATAATTGAGTTAATCTTTGATTGCCACAATTACTCGGGAGAGAAGAAGGTGAAAATTGCAGTTCTTGAATTCACAGACTATGCAATCCTTGGTGGGATCAGGTGGTGACTTTGAGACGGAGAAGTGGGGAGCAACCTATCAATACATGGGAAGAATTGAAAACTATAATGCAGAAGAGGTTTGTACCTACTCACTACTACCGGGAGCTTCATCAAAGATTACAACCCAATTTAAATTATTTTTACAACCCAATTTCAATCGCCTCTATTGGATACTGGAAGAGAAGCCATGATAAGAATACTAAATGGGATGTAATGTTGATTTCTTCACCATCATGGCGGCGGCAATGTCTTCGTGGCGTCGAGATGCCATGTATTGGGGGCCACATAGATGTATCAAGGGTGCGTTTTCTGCCCATTTTGAAACTCAGAAAAAATCTAGATTAGGGGAAACCATGGAGAGGAGTGTAAATACATTAATGGAGGCACTTTTGGTGAATTCCACACATTGAGATACACAATTTGACACTGAGAGAGCAAAATCAAAGAAGAAAAACAAGAATTCAAGAGTTAGGGTTTGGAATCTAAATTTGAGACAAGAAGAGGAACTTGATACAAGATTCATCCACTTTTTGACATATCAATTCAAAACCCGCTAATGTACTCTAATATTGTTAATTGTTTTCCTTATATTATTGAACAGCTAAGTGTTTTTATTATAGCTAACAATGTAATCTTTTGAGACCTTCTATTTCTTTTACTCAAGATTCAAGTTCTTTCATTATATATGTGTTGATTTTAATTATGTATTTAATACTCTGAATTACTTGACAAATAATTTAATAATTTTGTGAATCTATTATGAATTGAGATGTGAGTTTTAGATTTAGACCACACATTAAAATCTGGTAATTTGGTATAACACGTAGGATACATATAATAATTACTGTGATCGTTATATGAATTCTTAGAACAAATAGTGCATTTAACCAAGATTGATTCACATAGAGATATATGATTTAATTCGTTAAATAGGTTCAATGAGAATCGAGAGAGGTATATTGAATACAATAGAAGTATTCGATCGAACACTACATTAGATTTACGAATCTTATATAAAGAATTAAAAGTGATCAATATGTAAAATTATTATGCCCTAATATTCATTCCATATTTGATTATGCAAGCGATCCTTGTGTGCATATTACTATTTTCAATTAGTAAAAATAGTTACATAAAAAATCACAACAAAAACATAATTCTTGTTTGTTTTCGTCAAATAGGAGCTAAAAATAATAAATTATACATTAAAGTATAGTTCTTGTGGGAACAATAATTCAAACTGAAATGTTTATTATATTATTTGTTACAATATCATGCACTCGGGATATAAAAAACACAACAAGAGTAAAATTGGTAATTTGGAGGGAATAAATATTCGGCCTACTTTCCCTACTCAAACAATCAAATTGCATGTAAAGAACATTAAATGGATGGAATTAGCAGCAAATCTATCCGATAAAATTGTCCAAAAATGCCACCCAAAATAGGGGCTTTATTGACTTTATCATTTGATGATAGGAGTGATAAATAGATCGAGGTTGTGAGTGCTCGGCTCATTTGCCGGTCTTACTTAGGGATGGCAATTTACCAGCTCTGTCCAAAATGGGGCAAAAAAACCTGCCCCTAGCGAGCGGGGCGGGGCAAGGTGGAGTGCCCCGTCCTGGGGCGTGGGGCG